TCCTCCAATGGATCATAAGTGATGATCAATCAAACTGCTCCTTTATTCGGCTTATTGTATAAAACCTATTGAAGCATTCGTTTCTAAGAAAATCAGGAGAAGACATTCAAGTTGTCGCGTATGTAATCAGAGGAAACATTACATTTTCCTTTCAGATATCAGACTGAATCAAATTTGGACATTTTTACTTGTTTCCCCTTTAATCCTTAGATTTTGCTTTAGGAAGAAGTTCCTGATGTAATTTGTACTCGTTGTTTTTAGTGGAGAACCTTTGCTTCCTAAACCCATGTCTGAATGGAGGGACATGTATGGAGGTAATGGGATCTCACAGTTGCCTGTGCGTAGAGGGATTCAGCGGCTCCGCTTGTGAAAGTGAGTAGCGCTGTTTATTATTTAGCGGAATCACTGCACTGAATTAATTGTATATTAACTCATTAGCATTGTGAGTGTGACTTTGTTGCTGAAGTAATCCCACCTAGCTAAAGAAGCAGAGGCATGTCGAAGAAACTGAAATGAAATAACCCTGAATATAACGTGCTTTAGCCAATTTCCTCTGGGGCTGCTTTCCCTTCCTTTAGAGTTGATGGTAGTTTTAGGTAAGTAGCGTTGCAACTACATTTTTGTACTTTAGTCTTCGAAATTGCTGCAGTCTAATTAGCATTACTCGCTTCAGTTGATGAAGGATATGATCTTTGGTTTTATAGATAGCAATGTGCAAATGAAGCGATCATTTTGTTTTATCTGGAAACATGATCACAAATAAATTTGGACGAGTGCGAAATTCTAAAAAAAGCAGAAGGAGAAAAATCATTGTTTTTTTTTTCTGTTCATTTACCATCCATATCGACAAGTTAGCTTTAAAATAACTGAATGAGTGAGTAAGTAAGTTGGTTGGTTGACTTGTAATATGTTTTTTCTCGATTATTAACGAGATGGTATTCCCTTCTAAAACTTTTCTTCCAGTTGAAAGCAAATGTCGAAGCAATCCATGCAGAAATGGAGGAACATGTTTCGACAATCACAATTCGTACACGTGTTCGTGTTTGGCGGGATTTTCAGGAATAAACTGTGAAAGTAAGTGCAGCTAAAAGTGAGTCGGTAACACAATTTCAGTTTGTTTCTCACAGCTTCCATTGTTTAACATAAAAGCATGACTAAGTACTGACATGTCTCGGAAAAGACAAACGACAACCGATGGCAAAGGTTATCTCTCTCGGTCTATCCATATATGATACACCCTTCGCTCCGACGAAGAGCTAACGCTCGAAACGTCAGCTTTTGTAATCGTTACGGTGGCCAATTTACCATTTCAACTTTGTTGATATATCCAAATGATTTCGTTACCCCCACCGACGCAGCCCTAAACAGTTTTTATAGAAACTATCAGCCTTTATCCATATATTAGTCAACGAAAGTCTTGAAAGTTGCTTTTCATGAGTGGCTTATCTCGTGATCACACCCTTGTCCTGTTATTTCATCTTCCGTAAGCAAGGCCAAACTAAAACATCGCAGGTTACACGAGGTTTAACAGTCGATCATTTCCTTAGAGATTCTGACTGCTGCAACAGGAAATGATAGCTCCCTACTGAAATGCTCTGTTGCCCAAATAAGACAGGCACCGATTTGTACACGTTTCTCTTTCAGCAATGGTGTCAGTATGCGACTCTAACCCATGTCTTAATGGTGGCTCATGTCTCAATCAAGGACCTAACATTTATAAATGTGTTTGTGCACATGGTTTCCGAGGAAAGAACTGCGAAAGTAAGTTATCTCTGGACGCAGCTTGGTTTGTTGTCGTATCTTTAATGAGAACAACTTATTGGTAGAGTAATGTAGCACTGGCGGATGGACGAATGAAAATGAGGTTATGAACGATTTTCATACACGCAGTTACATCTTCATAATGTCGTTGTTTTATCCTCTTCAGGCGAGAAAAAGTGCGAGCCTAACCCGTGCCAGAACAGTGGAGTCTGTAGAGAACTTATAGAGGACGAAGATTACAAGTGTGAATGTTTACATGGATATAGGGGCAAGGATTGTGAAGGTTGGCTAACCGGATATTCTCCTAAAATATCAAAGACTGTTCGACATTTTTAACTGCTAACTCTGCACAACAAAAACAAGAACCATTTTTAGTCTCTTTTTGTCATTTGCAGAGGAGATTAACCTGTGTGAATCAAATCCATGCATAAATGGTGGCACGTGTTCTACGTTAGGAAGTTCATACCACTGTCTTTGTGTTGAAGGATTTCGAGGAATAAATTGTCAGGGTGAGTCGACAAGTAGATGAAGGAATATCGACTAAAGTATCTCACTTTTTATCTGGCCATCTTTCTTTATCTAGTGAAGCACAGTAACCTTACCAGTTGGGCGACCCATGAGGCTGGAAGCTTATATGTGCCTTTATTTTTCTTAGAGCAAAGGGATATGGATTATTGCTATTACTGTGTCTCTGGCAGAACTGGTCTATCGAAGGTTACCCTTGCCTGTTGCTAGGTTTCTCTGAGAGCGCACGGGCACTCATTTATAATCTAGGGTGGGGAGGGACTGATGATAGTGAGAGTAAAGTGTCTTGCGCTTGAACAGAACGTAATGATCCAGTCAATTATTAACAAACCTCTCGACCCACAGACCAGGGACCCGTTTCTCGAAAGTCCCGCTAACTTAACGGGCCCGTAAAGCTATTCTGTTTCCATTCAAGATGGAAATTTCAAAAGTTTTGAAAATGATACAATAAAACTATCAGCTAAAGAAACAAACGGACTGGTTTGGATGTCATAACCTGCTTTCCCATCCTTTAAATTTTTATTTCTAAAGATGGCTTCGGGCCCGTTAAGTTACCGGGACTTTCGAGCAACGGGCCCCAGCCCCGCCCACCAACTTTAAGTCTCTCTCGTCTCTCTCGAAATTTATTGGTCAGTAGATAGCCGGTCTAAAATTAATAAACTCGATTGTGTAACAGAGCCGGATAGATGTCACTCGCTTCCTTGTCAAAATGGTGGATCATGTTATCAGGAAATCACCGGGACATACAAATGTCAGTGTCCAGATGGATTTAGAGGTTTCAATTGTGAAGGTCAGTATGTGTTAGTGCTTTGAAGGGAAATTAAACCAGAGCTAGCTTTACGATTACTTAAAGCCTTTTGGGACCTGAGGAGCAGAGATCCATGTGGCCGTGTTCTTGAAAGGCGCATGCGTGAGATGTCGACAAAGTCGAGCCTCCGGATTGAAATGTTGGAAACACTTCTTCCCTTGGGCAAGACATCAATCAAGATATATTAAAAATTTTTGTTTTTTCCTGTAACTCTGCAGGACATTAAATCTTTGTACGATTTCCCCCACATTTTAGAGGAGTTGAAGTGTCATTCCAACCCATGTCAAAATGGCGGCACCTGTTTTGAGAACAGTGGTGGTTATACTTGTACATGCCAACCAGGCTACAAAGGGATCAACTGTGCAGGTAATAAGGTTCAAATAACATCCAAGATTTGCCATAATAACGAGGTGGCGCATGCATGATAATTATATCTCAACCTTAACTTTATGCCAAGCCCCGGTTGTTCGAAGGGTGGATAACGCTGTCCACTGAATAAATCTCTATTCGGTGGAAAGCGCAGAACCTTTTGGTAACACTTATCCGCTGAATAGCGAGTTATCCATTGTATTTCGTTATTTCGTTATCTGCTCTTTGAACACCAGGGCCCAGGTCTTTACTTAACGAGCCTCAGAAAAACATCTGTTTTCAAAAGAAGAAAAGACCTTTCAAAGGTCAGCATACGTGATTTAAAGACTGATAAGATCTGTAATGCATTCCCTTCTGTAGAGCGTGACAACTGTCATCCTAATCCCTGTCACCATGGTGGCGTCTGTGATATCGACGGCGAAGACTTCACCTGTTCCTGTTCGTCTGGGTGGACTGGACTCACCTGTGAAGGTTAGTCTTTTGAAATCTTGATTGACGAGAGAAAAAAAAAAAAAAGGACGATCTTGCGGACAAACAAACTGACAACATTGAATGGCTACCTGGCGGAAATGAGGTGCAAGAAGTACACGAAAAGAGGGCCGAGAAATTCAAACAATCATCCGTTTTCTTTATTTCTGTAGATGAAGACCACTGTCATCCGAATCCATGTGAGCACGGAGGAGTTTGTATAGCAAAGGGAGCATCTTATGAATGTCACTGTCCCATGCATTGGACGGGAATCAACTGTGAAAGTAGGAAAACTTTTATTTTTATTCTACCTTTGAGACCATAGGCTAGCACTTCTATTCCATTATCATACTATAAGAGCAGAAACTCCTAAATACTGAGTTCTTCATACCATTATCACAGAGAAAATTTCTGTGCTATAGAAAGTAATCTTGGGTTTGGAGTGAAATGTTCTTTGATTGGCAATAAAACCCCTTAGCTACCTCTCGAACCAATCAAACTCGTTGCCAGGGACTTTTCCCTTAATTGGGGAGAAAGGGACCTGGGACGAGGTTGTCGCGACCAATCTGATGTAAAACGAAGAAACAAAAAACAATCACAATCGCTTTAGGCGGTTTGCCTTTTTTTACTTTAAGTCGTTATTGGCTCCTAGTGGTACTAACCTTTATTCTGATGGGCTTTTGTGACCTTTTGTGACAGCTTTGGTTTTGGTTCACTCAAGCGAAATGCACTCAAATGCCTCTAATCAGCCATTGCTTTTTAAACACAACCTTACGAGCCTTTTAAATCCGGAAAGCGAAAAACCACCCAATCATCACTTTTTCCTGTGCCAGTCAAGATGGCTATAAAACCTATATAAATTCAGAGATGAGATCCAATTTCAAGAAGTTGAGGATTGCCATATTTTCTATTAGTATAATTTCTGAGCTGAGCAAAGAGTTTCCAGCGATCTGATTGGTCGAGCGGTTCCTTATATGACGCTATTTAAACCGCTCCACGCGGTTTATATAAAACGTTAAAATAAAATGTTAATAAATGTTACTAAAATGTTATGATTTTAGAAATTTCTCTGTTGTTCAGCTCTGAATTTATACTAAAACAATTATTCGCCTCAGGTTCCGTAAATATTGTCGAATAATCCCCTCGACTTCGTCTCGGGGATTATTCGACGCAATATTCACCTCGCCTTCGGTGAATAACTGTTAATTATAAATTGAACAAATCAGGGACGTTAACCTCAACATATCTAGTATCGCTGGAAATATTTATTAATTTCTCTGTTCAAATCCTTAGCACCCTCTACAATAGCCTATGCTGTGGCCAACACATGCGCAGCTACCACGTACGGTTGCTGCCCTGATGGGAAGACACCAGCTGCAGGACCTCACCAAGCAGGCTGCCCAGGTGCACACTCTAACTAAACAAATGAATAAAGGCTGAAAGTTTCTAAAGAAACTGTGGTGCTGCGTCGGTGGGGATAACAAGGTAATTTGGTTATATCAACTAAGTTAAAATTGTAAATTAGCCACCGTAACGAATAAAAAAGCTGACGTTTCGAGCTTTAGGCCTTCATCAGAGCGAAGGGCTATCGCTCGAAACGTCAGGTTTTTTATTCGTTACGGTGGCCAATTTACAATTTCAACTTAGTTGATACAACCAAATTATCTAACTAAAACAAACACAACCTCGTGAATACCACTCACAATTCGGCTTCCGCAGAAACCTTCAGCAAGATAAGAATGGTCGACCTACTTTACTTTCCATGTTTGCTTCGCTCCTTCACACTTAGAGTGGAATTAAATTCTATTCAAACCAAGTAGTCAACAAGATGGTTTGGTTTTATCAGTTCGAGCGGTTTCCTTTGTCTTGTAGGCCGGTCGCTCTGCTAATGCTGACAAATGCATGGCGCATGCTCGGGATATCAACTTTAGAAACTCTAAGTGGTGGCCGATATACATTGACAACTCCGTTGATGAGACCAAATCGTTTTGTAATAACACCCCCCCTCTAATACAGCACCACAGTCTGTTTACAAACTTACCTACTTTGTTCAAATAGTTATCATCCAATTCTGAACTTCAAAGCAAACCAAACACTTTCATACAAGACCTTCAATGTGATATAGTTCATGGAATCAGAGAGCTTTGCAGTCCTGTAAATTATATAGCGTTTTATGTTTCCTATAGTTTAAGTTTCAATTATGACTACTCCTCTTGCACTTTGCTCCCACAACGAAGTCAAACTTCACCTTAATTTTGAAACCAATAACAGATTTCCTTTATACCTGTTTCGAAATCGTAATGATTGTACAACTTTCTAAAACTTGTTTTCTTTATTATTTTTTTTCTTCATGTGGAACTTATTCCGGTCAACGCAAAGAACATATTGGAGGTAAGCCATGATTTTCGGTACTCCATAGCAGAAAAACTATACCTAATAAGCACGAAATTAAATTCGGTTGTTGATCCAAATGGCAACCAGCCGATCTTTGCTACTCGAAGTTCCGTTCCGTCGATCTGACTTTGTTTCAGATCAATTCTAGATTCACGTCGATTGAAACTGTCCGTGGAGTAGGTGCATTGCGTGGTGCATGCCGGAATGTATGTCTTTATGTTACCATCTCATCACAATGACAATGAAGAACCAAGCAATGGGCCATTTCCGAATTACGTTTGGCCTCTTTTTCAAAACGAGGCCTGATGCTCAACCATACGTATGAAAATGAGAATGATAACTTATTACCATAGGATGAGCACCAGGACTCGCTTTGAAAAAGAGGCTAAAGGCAATTTGGAAATGGGCTATTAGCTTTGTAAATGGAAGATTCCCAAAACTGCCTCCTATTGGACAATGACAATTGACAAAAGCAGCAACAACAAAGCTGACTGAAACCGATCGAAAGCTAACAATCCCATTTGAAATCCAAACCCTTGGAAGTCCAAAGTCCGGAATTTGGGCCAAAACATTCAGACGATCCGCGATCAATGCCAAATTCATGAATCCACTTAATTTATTGAGAAAAAAAAAATTAAAAACTCTGCGCCTTTTATTTTTGGGCCAACTACGCTTATCCGCAAAACTTATAAATCCTGCTCATTTTACAAACGTAGGTGATCAGCAATGATGAAACAAGGAATAAATGCTTATTTCATTTTGAACTTTTGAAGGTATGATCGCCAAATAACCAGTGCAGTTATCAGGAGGATTCCAGAAAGTTGACGAACGACTCCAGACAGAGGCCATCTCTAAAAAGATTACCCTTGTCTTTGATTTGTATGGAAGATGCGGAGAAAACTCTTTGTTTGAAAAAGTAATCTTGCTTGAGCTGAGCTCAGAACATTTGCATTGTAAATAAGAATGATAATGTTAGCGCTAAAACGGTGTAAAAAGTAAACTAATTGACATGTTATCGATAAACAGAATGTGTCGTAAAAAAGTAAAGTTTTCCTCTTCAGGGTGAGATTAGATCTAAAGGAGTGAAACAAGAATTAATTCGAGAAAGTCTCGACAAATGTTGAATAGTCACTAATCAAATATCATTTGATCACCTTTAAACTGACGTTAGCTCTTTTAAAAGTCATGGAATTTCACAACATTTCGGTTGAATATTTTGAAACTGTTTGATTCTAAGGCTAGATTTCCACAGTTTTCTCGAGTCCGTTCTTTGATCAGATCTACTCAGGCGAGGAGCGAGGGCTCGATTCTTGATCAGCGGCTGGTAAGCGAGCAACTCAGCTGCGCATGCTGTTGTCAACAACATAGGGGTCAAACGTTTGCGCATGTGCCAAAGCTGCGGTGGCTTGACGTCGTGCTTTAAGGCCATCAGAGCTATTTAGACTTACAGGTGTGAAAAAATAACCATACAAGCTAGTTTATCACGGTGTTTTGAAAACACGCAGTTTCTTTTGTTAAAGCTTCAAACAAACCGTTAAATAATCAGAATACACTTCATGAAATAACGTTTGAGTTCGAAAAGTCCTGAGTTTTCTATTTACTACTTTTGTTTTGTTGTGAAAGATTTCTGTGAACGTTTCAATCACTTTTTCGGTCATTTGACACGCTTTCCCAGTGTCTGTTGCGCCAGAACTCGGCCAAAATTGCGCATACCCAACGTTTGACTGCTGTGTTACAAGCAGTGGTTGTATTAATATCATATCGTCGCGATATTTTGAATTTTTAATTATCATCGCTTTATAAACGGGGATTTGAGGAGAACAGCAGTTATGTTTGTTGAGATGTGTACAAACTTGTTATGCTGGTGACATCTCTAATATTCTTTCCGCTTGAAACGTTTATTTATGTTGATACGTTTAAACAGGCTCTGTGTGTATCTATCTATTATGAATTTTCATCTAATAGGGAAATTTGCTCAAGGGCGTTTGTCGTGACTAATGAATGAAAGGCAAATAGTATTTAAAGTGTTGATTTGTATTGATAAAAGTTTACATATGAGTTTGTACTGGACTCGACTCAGAGACGTACCTCCTAATTACTAGAAATGACAGACTGTAGTCTACCGTGGCCTAGTTTTTCCCTCCTCCTCTCCTTGAAAAAGTATAGGTTGATTAAAACAGAATTGTCTTTTCAACTGAATTTAGGGACACTGTAATTAACTTTGATTTTAATGAAAAAGAACTGAATTATGATATTAAATAAAGCATCACATCCTTGCAGCATTGATTAATAAAGGAATTTATATCTATTCATCCTCATGTAACAATTGCTTTACGTGACGTCGACAGGGTTCGTTCATCAAGATATTAGGGACTTAAGCAACCACGACGGCGACGGCAACGAGGACGAAAAAACAAGAGATCTAATTGGCAGAACAATAGCTCAGCACGTGCGTTTTGAAACTTTGTACATTTCGTAGCCGTCCTATGCAAAACGACAACGTGAAATTGCCAAAATTTGCGTCGTCTGCGAACCGAAACCGCGACGGCAAATTATTTTAATTTCCATTTGGAACTCAACGCTACTTTTATACGTCATGCTGAAGTTGAGCTGTGACAGTAAGCTCCTGCAACCATTTTTGAAATTCTAACTAAGAGTAGAAATTCATTTTTTTTAATCGAAGTCTTCCTTGGTGTTGCCTTCCTGATTGCGTAAGGTCCCTAATATTAAGAGAAGGCGACGTTTGGAGGATAAGGTGTGTAAGAGTCATTTTAAGTGCAGCCGAGAACAGCTCTAAGTGTATTGAGTGTTCTCCAAACTCCATAAGTGCCTAATATCGCAAGTCTTATGAAAGAACACCCAAACAAATAGCTGTTCATGCTACGGCTCAATTCAAGGGAGTGTCGGTCCATCTTAAGACTCAGCAAAGGGAAATGTCGCAAGATGATGAATGAATTCGTTAGCGAAGAATGGGTTGCTATCGAAGCGAACGGCAAAACTCAACTGAACGCGCGATTCACTATATTCTGATATACGCGCAGCTGACACCTGAAACAATTGATAAATGTAGACGAATAAATATACTTTTAGTAGCTAGTACGTCATTGCAAGCTCACGAATGCTTTATTTTGTTATCTATTGCTTTTATAACTAGAATAAGAAAACCCTCTTTGGTGTGAACACCAAAGTAACTTAAGAAATCAGAGTGTACAATAAGGAATTGAAGCACACTCACGTCTATCTTCTATGTTATTAACTTTCTTTCACCACGCATTTTTTTTCTTGAAAGCTGTTATTAGCTATTTTTCCTGGCTATGGTTTTTAACAGTTTCTTAAAATCTCCAGGAGGTCATCCCAACATCTGTGATATGGGTCGTATGGGCACACTTCACGCAGCCACTTCAGTGGTCGCACCAGTCCCAACCGGTACTAACGAGCAGGAACACAAGCATATCTTAGTGGCTTATATCTGATTCAGTTCTGTATCAGTGCTTGAAACGGATGTTTATACTGCTTTCTAATCCATATTTTTTTTCTGACCCTTGTTGGATTTGATCTATTCCACAACATTTACGGTGCCGGAGGGGGCCAAATGCTTTGGTTTTATATTGCTCAGGTGATTATCAGAGCATCTGCATTTTCTTCAGTTTTTCCGGTTTCCTCTTTACAAACATCCAAATTAACTCAAGCGAAGGTTATTTTGAGAGATGATGCTTCCGTATGGTAATTACCTGAAGCAGGAGATTTTTGCGAGATATGACGTTATTCTTGAATAGTCTGAAGGCGCGCACTTCTATAAGCGCTTTGATCCGGTTGTTCGCAAGGTAGACAACGCTATCCGCTGGATATATGAATCTCTATCCGGTGGATAGCGCGGAACGTTTCATCAACACTTATACGCTGGATAGTGATTTATGTCGGTAGAATTGCCTTATCTGCCCTGTGAAAATTTGGATCCAGAGTAATTTTATTGCCTAGAATATAACCCTGAATCGTGTATTTCAGAAGAGTGAGAAAAGAAGCCGAAAAAGATTCTTTTAGAGGAGCTGTATTTGGACACAGGTGACATTCTAGTAATAACACAAATCATGTCTCATGAAAGAAATAAAA